AACCAAGTTATTGATGTTGCAGAAGTGTTAGCTACGACTGTTTCTTTAGTACGAGACAATAATAGAAAATTAGATCGGCTTTCAGACGAGGTTAGAAGTGAACAAAGCAGTGAAAACGATATGGACTCGGATGACAGTGATTCATGGCCATCTAGCAGGAGGGAGATTGAAAATGAAATCAAACAGTTGTCTACTAAATTGGAGTCGATGAAACTAAAATATGAGGAGCAAATCCGCGGAAAAAACAGGTTAATAGAAGAGCTTGAATATGCCTTGAAGAAAAGTGAGAAAGACGGTAGAAAGAAACGTAGTGAAATTGAACGCTTGGAAACCCAGATCGAGGCTCAAAAAAGGGCAATAGACGAACTGGTTGAACAGCAAAATTTGATCGCTAGAAGTCAATCTCCTGATCCTGAACAAGCTGAAGCTATTCGACTTCTTGCTCAAGAACTAGATGAAAAAAATAAAGTTATCGATGAACTTGAAAAAAAGTTTCAAGTAGCTTCTGCTAATCATGCAAATCATGTAGCTGAATCTAATGAAAAAGATATGAAGCTAGATTTAATTTCAACCCAACTTTTGAAATATAAGACGCTTGAAGCTCAATGGGATGATAAACAAAAAACTCTTGATTCCTTATCTTCACAATTAGAGTTTCTCAAGAAAAGAGAAGTTGAACTAAATGAAAAAAACTCTCTAATTGAATCTCTAAATATACGCCTGGACACTTCTCAAAAAGTCATTGCTGAGTTAAGGGAAAAACACGCACCACATGATCTATTAAGGCAACTTCGCCAAAAGGATTATATAATTGATAATCTTACTCAACGAGTTGAAAACATTGATGCCGATATGAAAGATAAGGATGACCAAATTGAAGCTCTTGCTACATGCCTTGCTGAAGAAAAGAAGCAATCAGAACAATTTGAAGAAGAACTTGCTCAACTTGATCCTTTAAAACAGCGTGTCGAAGAGATGGAAGATTCTAATAATGAACTTCGACAACAAATTGCTCAAAAGGAAAAGGTTCTTTTCGATCTCGAGTGTAAATATAAAGAAGCATTAAAAAATTCTTGTGATAACTCTGATAAACTTAGAGTTCAAGAACAAAATATAAACGCCCTTCGTCAAGAAGTCGCTCAGCTTAAGCAAGCTATGACCGTTAAAGTCTCTGAAGTACGTGATAAAGAACGGCATATCGCAACTCTTGAGAATGAAACCGCCCATATGCGATCAAATTATCAAAGACTTATAAATGCGCTTACCGAGAAAGATCAACGAATTGCATATTTCGAGAATCTTCAGAACGCAGCCAAGTCTGAATCACAAGAAAAGGAAACAAAAATTAATAAAAATGAAGTTCGGTTAAATGCTTTACAAAAAGTTTTGAACAATAAGATCGAGTCCTGCAGAGATTATGAAAAAAAGATTGAGACTCTACAGAAGGACCTTGATAGTTTAAGAAAGCAAATTGATGAATCAAACGCATCTAGTTCTGAAAAAGAGATTAAAATTACTAAACTCGTCAAAATGAACCGTCAACTTAAAGAGGAAGTATCCGACCTCAAAGAAAAAATGGAAGCAAAGGAACAAGAACTAATTACGATTAAGTCTCGTATTCCTCAACCTGTTACTACTGCAAAATCTACGGCCTCTGCCAGATCATCATCCTCTTCAAAAGCTCCTAAAACTAGGGTGTCTTCCATGTACAGCGTAAGTGGGGGTGAAAGCAGCAGTGATGAAACGGCGAATGGATCCCGTATACGAAAACATTCCAGTCTTAGTGGCATTGACAGTCCAGCATTAAAGAAAAAGTCTACACTTGACCCATCAAGACGACTATCAGATATTTCTCGTGCTACTACTTTGACCAGAACAAGATCTTCTCCTACATCCTCAACTGTCAACAGTGTTCGAAGGAACAATCTCACAACACTCCCAAAATCTAGAACGCCTTCTACTCCCAACACTGTTGATGTTCTCAAAAAGAAGCGTGACGCGACCATCACACCTAAGAAAGAACCTAGCCCCATTAATCGATCTGCAGTTAACCAACGTAAACGCGATATGGTTGTCTTGAATCATATGTTGAGTGGTGTTGCACCCAAAAAAAGACCCAGTGCCGACAATAATGCGGGAAAGAAAAAATTGACCGATTCAGTATCTAGTGATAGTGAACGTGAAACAAAAACTGGACCAGCAAAGAAACGATCTAGTGATTTGGCCACCATCATGGAAAAGATTCGTACTAGTAGCGACGATTCTACTAAAAA